TGACACCATTTCACTCAACCCTCTGAATATGCACTCCCTGGTGTCACTGCTCTTACCGAGCCTGCCATCTGAACTACAACTCAACGTCTGAACAAGGTAACATCATCATTGCTTGCTAGGGTTGCCACCTTTTCTTCAAGCGAAACCCGAACACTATAACGTCACACAGGCATATTCTTTTGGGAGAAGGAGTCGTGGCACCACCCATTAATATGTAAATAACACAGTTGAGACTATTTTCAGTGGGGGGCCAGTAGCCCCTATCTTAATTTTGGTTGCCCCTGTCTGCCTGACATCTTGTGTTCGGGTTCCTGGTGCCATGAAACCCAGACACAGCATTCAAAACCCGAACTGTCCGGGTGAATCCTGGACAGGTGGCAACCCTATTGCTTGCTGGAAGCAATGCATGATGGGCGATGAAGTCTTGAGAAATGGAGATTGCATCACAACAAGCAGCAGGGAAAGAGACGCAAAACACACTGGGAATCCAGAAGTTGATGAAAGTGATGGGCAGATGGAAGGCGGCGCTCACTACATAAAATTCCTTTAACTGGATCCTGTGAAGCAACGGTGTCAGAAGTCTCATTGGCAGAAATGTGTAGATTAGACTGTGGGGGCCCAATGGAGCCACAGAAGCACCTGTTGAATCAATTAACACTTTCGCTGCCAGGGAGTTTGTTTTTTGCACACATGTTATAATCTACATTTTAGGCCTAAAAATTACTTAAATATTTCTTGAAAGCAGAGACCCTGTAGAACAAATGGGCCGCTTTTGTTTAAAATGTGTACTTTGCATGATATTAGCACAATTCTTTTTCCCGACATCTCCATGTCAGCAGATTCCTGTGCTGCCATGGAGCTGTCAGGAAAGGGAAATTGCAGTAAGTATGGCAATACAATTTTCCTGTTCAAACCACAAATTTCAGTAATAAATACAGGTAAGTTAATTTTAGAGCCCAGGAACACATATTTTTTTTCTAAAATATAAAAGATGAGGTTACGATGACAAAATGCGATACCCCAAATTGTACCATGGGGGCCGCTTTAAAAGCCCGGACAGGTCATCACTTGAATTATCTGTGAGTATTGGCCCGAGAATTATTGCTCTCACTCTGGCACACATAGTGATACCCAACATGTGTGGTGCAATCGTCGTTATTAGGGATGCACATTAGCAAATCCGGAAGCCGGGCGCCGTGTAATGACGCAGCGCAGGCATTCTGATTGGCTGGAAAGGCGGCGTCATGCTCCCTCGTCATCTCATGAATCATAATATGAAGAAACTGACCTTAAATCATTAGTTTGTATTGCTTTAGAAAAAATGTGACCTGTCCCTTTAAGAAAAAGTATCGGTAATCGGTCGTAAAAAAGTGGTATCGATGCATCCCTAGTTGTTATCAAACATAGGTGCACCCGATGCGTGTTTACATTATTATGCAAGCTTTCGCGGGGGGGGGGGTTTATTTTTTGGG